TTGTGGGTGTATACAAATTATTTAGTTAAAATTAACTAATATTTCGGGGGTTTGTAGGTAATTAAATTTTAAATAGATTTTTTTTTATTTAATGTAATTATTAATATGAAAAAGATATGGAGAGGACTTAAAGGTGCTGTGGTCTATGTAATTTACTACTTTAAAGAACGCATTATATACACATTAACTTAACAGACTCCTTTCCAGATGTTATTGATGACGACATTGATACTATCGAGAAATGATAATTGACTGCTGAGTGAAAAATTGGCTGCGGACCTACCAATATATTTAAGTAAAATTGCACAACTCTAATTAGGTGTGAAAATGTCAAAAGTTAAATACTCTTCTGGCTAATGTACGTACTCGGCCATATTGCTAGGTGTCTTCTGCCAGTACCGTTCATGTTGGGACATATTGCCTATTAATGGCGTAACTTACGTCTGTTTAATGCCATGTGATGCAGTCTTAAAGGGACAGAAGTGTTAATTTTATTTTTGATTTGATCTAGTTGTACTAAATTTCAAATTAATTGGTAAATTGCATTGATATAAATTGCATTGTATTTCACTAGAAAAGAGTATTGTAAGTAGAAATGTTAGATAATTTAAAAAGAAACAACAACACTGTTAAACTACGTATGTATGATTTGTTTTATCTTAACATGGCCAAGATCTTTATTCATATCTCATGTTTTCTCCTTTCCTGGGGGCGGGGGGAGGGGGGGTGCTTTCCCCTTTAAGCGTATATATGATAATACGGTCACGTAATAGATTTATATTAGCTTATGTAACGTGTGGAAATAAATCCCAACGATCACTGAGCATACTAGTTAATCTTTCACGCCTAATTGAACACAAAAATAATATTACTAACATTTTTAGGTCACTTGACATTGTTTACTTTATCGCGACAGTATAATAGATCTGTTTTGGATGTTTACTGTTCATGTCTTCAAATACTTCAAATTTACAGGTGTTTTATTCGGGAGTCCAACAATCGGTTACGGAAGGCAATTCATAAAATTACTGAAAGAGTGTTGTGAAATGCTTAGTGAGTATTCAAAATGAATTAATGTTCAATGATTTCCTTGTTCTGTTGTAGTCAGATATAATGTTTGTATTAGCCCAGTCGGAGCAGAACAATAGGACGTTAAACTCCATTTCATTTCATTTATAATGTTTTTTATTTCCAAAGATTAATTTTCATGCAAATTGTGATCGAAAATAGATTAATTAATTGGGACAACCTTTAAAATAAACCCCACAAACCTTATTTAGGTATAAATTCATTTCTAACAAGCAGAAATTCTATTACTATACGTCCAAACAAAGACAACTCATAAATTATTCTAAAATTCAAAATCGATAAATTCAACAATGAATATAGAGAAAAGTAACGGTATGAATATTAAAAAGACCCATGGCATGAATATTGAAAAGACCCATGGCATGAATATTAAAAAGACCCATGGCATGAATATTAAAACCAGTGATGGGATGAAAATCGGTCAGCCGGGAGACTTCTCCCAAATAGATAATTACGCCCGCATGAGAGAATATCTAAAGACAAAGCCCAATTCTAACAGACAATATCAAAGAAGGCGAAGACCGCCAATTAAAAACGAACCAAAACTGGAAGCCGACCAAGCTGTAGAGGAAGAACCGAAAGTTATTAACAATAAACCAGAGGAGGTTGATATTATACCAGAAGTTGTTAAAAGTGAACCGGAAATTAGTGATATTAAGGTAATAAATAGTTGTGCAATAATATGATGTATTTATGTTCAACTGATCAGCTGTATACGAAGACTATTTCCGTTAAGTCATCCGTTCCGCCCTTTAAACCTTTTTTTTTATATAATAGTATAATATTTCAAATGATTACAGATTCAAATTGCCCAATAAGCAAACCAATAAATGAATTTTTAGTATTACTCACACGTTACCAGGTAACGCCAGCGATCGTTCATTCATCGTCTTGCAAGTGTAACACAATAAGTGTCTACGGTAAAATTCGTAGACTGTCCCAAAAATTTATTTTGAAGTATCTGGAAAGAAATAATGTTTTGGTAACAACTATATTTATCTTGGTTCGGGTATTTTTCAACCAATCAAGGATTCCCAACCTCGTTTCCCCTTGTCAGTGGTGCAGGGTGTTCGACCTGTCAATGTAAAGCATTTAGTAGTTCGGATTGGACAAAAAGAGAGGCACCGTGTATGGATTTCTGAATTAAATGAATCTGGATTCGTTATCTAAGATTCGCATCCCTTGACAAATACAGTTTCCTGTCAAACTTTTTATTTGATATTGTACATGATTATGTGCGTGATTTCCAATAATGCATTATGGCCATACGTCATGAAGTTAAACTACAGAACAAGATTAACATTTAAGATTAACTTCATCAAAGCTCAGCACTCCCCCATCCAACCAAACTCATTATTTTCTTCAATTATAACCCATTCTCGTACCCAGACGTAGACTTATATTATTAAATAGCATCTGTATTGATTAATTTACATGTTCTCTTTCCATAGGAAATTCCTAGATTTTTTAGATCAACTGTTGGGTCTATGAGAAGAAGTTACAATAAGTTTAAAATTGGTGACAACATGGAGAACTGGTAATAGCGTCAGCACCACCAGTACCAGTATCAACACCACCAGCAACATCCCCAGCATCATCATCACTACATCGTTTGAGAATTAAACTAAATGCTGATCTATAGAAATTTATATTTTAATAATCTTTATTATGATAGCTGTCCAGTCTTTCAGTCTTAGCTTTATAGCCTTTAAAAAATGTTGTGACATAAGCTTATTATGACCATAGCTATATTCTAACATTCGGTGGATTTGGAAACCGTTTTGTTTCAATGTAACTATACTAGCTGAGAGACAGATTGAAAAAGGTTAAATATTGTCCTTAATGAAACAATGAAATGTTGTGTATATTTTTGATAAATAAAAGTATAACGTCTTAGATCTTCTTCCAAATTCTTAACCTATGACCCTGATCATTAAACACGCTACCCGAGACAACCGCTTTGTTATTTAATTAGTCGGTTATATGAGACATAAAGGTTTGAAAATCAGGCGTGAAAGACATTAAATGGGTGGATTGTTTCCAGCTTTTACTTACCCGACTATAAACACAATAAAACATCCAAACATAAAACACAGAACATCAATAACCCCTCCCTTGTATACATCATACCACACACTACACCTTACCTCATATGTCAATTGTCAAAACGGCGTCATTAGCAGGCGACCTCTTAAAGATCACAATGGCAGAGGTCGCCATGTCTTAGCAAAAGGTCAGATTCACAGAGACGACAGATTGGCCAATTAAAAGTCCTATAAGTAAAAATAAAGATGGGTTTTGTTTCCGGTGTCAAGTTATTCTCGTTGGCCTAAAACAGTCCTTTTTTTTAAAAAAAATATAATAATTTATTGCTTTTCTATTTTGATTTGTGAAGATTTCAATCATTTATGAATCTATTTAATTGCAAATCTGGTGAAATAGGTGTCCCAAGTTTTTTGATTTATATGTTACTTCGAGAAATTCAGTTACTTATAAATTTGATAAGAAAATAATTATAATATGATTGTCGGAAAGTATAACATTCATATTCACCAGAAACCAGAAATAATTAATTACACCCTCAAGTTGCATATTGGCATGTTTCGATTTTAGGCAAGTAGAGTGGGCGTCTTAACTTATCTTTTTTTTTCTCTCAGCCGCCCCCCCACCCCCCGTCGCTAAATCCCCTATAGTACACACGTTGCAAATACAGTTTACCATAAACTCAGATTACCATACTTGGTGTGAATGCCGAACTATCTATCAGTCTCTTGGTGTGAATGCCGAACTATCTATCAGTCTCTTGGTCGTTTCTTTTCGGCTTTCACAATAGCTGCAACGCAGTTTTGAGTGGACGTGAAACCCAATAAACCTCACCCTTATGTCAGTTTTGTTGAAGCAGTTATCTCCCTTTAAACATTACTTCTTAGCGACCAGTTGACATTCTTCGACATATTCTTCGAAAAGTGGTATGTTACAAAAGCGCATATCCGTTGAGAATCTGAAACCGCATATACTACTGTTTCTTCGATCGCGTCAAACTGTCGAGTTCTGCGAACAGCTCTTCTCATTATAGGACCGTATACTAGTTTCCTGGGACTCACAACAGCTATTTACATGACTCCGGTAGGTTGTGGTCCAAGGAGTTCTAGTTAAGGCTGTTCCGGGCAATCCAAATGCTAAAAGGTTTATACAACTTTATTTTTTTGAAACGCTGTACAGTTAGCTACCTCGGGTAATAATCAACTATCGTATGATCGAGATTAAGTACCATGCCGAAAGTTTCCCAGATATCTTCCATAGTACTTCCGATCTTTAGTCATTCAATCAGATATTGGGGTTTTGCCATGACTTAAATATGGTAACAGTGATTCATGGCTTTTCCCCCAATATTTCAGACATACTAATATTGTTAATTGTTATGATATTCGCTGTTAAATTAAATTCAAGCGCCGCTTATTTCAACCGAAGATTTCCATCATGTGAAATATGATTAAATGGTTGCGAAGCCGCTTGCATTCTGCGTAAACTTCATTAGTTTAAGTAAAAATTTGGTAGGGTAAAACTACAAATATGGTTACAACAACCTGTACATCACAAACTACCAACAAGTTTGCTATATTCTTGTTTATAGGGGTCAGATAGTGAGACACAGCTGAGGTGGTTGATTGTGTACCAGGGTGGCATGGAATTAGGTTCTATCACAGTTATAAGTCAAACAGGGAAAAACTGGTTTCTCTCACAAACATTTTACACAAAGTAAATGAAGAAATGTGATTGGATTCAATTGCAACAAAGCAATGGAGGTTAATTATACCCAAAACATACAACCCAAAATATTCTAACGTGTTAACTTCATTAGAAGATAGACACGCATCAATAAAAATGAAATAATTTTATTTGGTTAATATATTTGGCACAATTTGATAAATCAATTCATAAAAATCACAATAAGCTTCACTTAAAGCTGTTTATAACCTAATTAGCTAAATTTTCGTACGTAGTAAGTTTATTTTGTACATTATTTGATTAGATTATGCAACGTGAAAGATTATAATGAACAGACAACAAACACAACAACATCAACCAGATTAATGTATAGCCTTAAATTTCGTTTCGGGTTTTTTTTCTATTCTTTATATGACCTGCCAGAAAGACAAATTAAAATTAAACGAAATTTGAACTTTAAAAAAAAAGAAACGAAATGCAAAAAGATCTGTGATTTAATCAGACGCATATACATGTACACATAATTAACTTGACTAAACATAGCACGGTGAACAACTTATTAGGAATTGAGAATCACTGGCGCCAAATATATAAACAGGCACTGATCGAGATGAAGAATATTCAGAAATATAATATTCCCTTTGTGTACAAAATCATAATAACTCAAATCATAAATCAATCAGGTTTAGCATCCTCAAAGTGCACACGGATTATAAAAGTTTAAATAATTTGTGACTTTTGTGAAATTAAAAACAAATATACATAATGAGGAATGGTATGATAGTTCTTTTAGCAAATTCATCATTTCTTGCAAACACTTCGATTACTATTGCATTGTACCAATTAAACAAAAATCATGTTACATACTACTACCAGTAAAATTGCCCTCTGGAATTTCTTTTTAAGATAATTTCCTATCTATCTTAATCAGGTAGCATTCGTCGACGTGTTAGCGAGAGATTTTAAATAAGGAAAATAACAAACAAATAGTAAGTTATAAATAATGATACAAAATTTTCAAAATCAAAAAATAACAACAATAAAATCCAACAAATTATAAATGTGAATTTTAAAAAAATAAAATGGGACTTTTTAAAAACAAATTCTTAGTATCCATTTTTATTAGTTTATCAACGATAATCGACTTCACTTCCAGCAATTACTAATTTTTTAGCTATTTGCTTTCCAACGATAATCGATCATCAGCGATTATTTCTGTTATAAAATGGTGCACTATTATTTGACAATTTCTGTAAACATTATGACATGATATGTATTTTTAATAATATATGAATGTTTGAACAAACTAAATGGCGGTATTAGGAAATGTTTGGTAATGTTAATGTATATATATGATGAGGTACGCAATTACCCTTAAGACTTTCTTAGTGGAATGATATTGTAAACGTTTATTCTAAATTAATACATTATATCACTGTAATTTATCAATTTTTCTAAGCTATCACAACATTAAAGTAGTAAATCATTTAGGTGACTAGTAAATTGCAAACTACTTATATTAGTATAAGTATTTACTTAGAGTCAGTACCTCTCTAACACTGATTATCGTGCTTATGCTGGGTTCCCACTGTCGTGCGATGCGTTATGATAGGATTGTCCCTTATGAGTCCACGCTGTGGTACGTGCAGATACGTTCGGATACTTTTCGATACGATCAACATAATTGCTACAACTGACTTCAATAGATGATAAGACTTCATAGGATCACCACAATTTCAATCGTAGCGCGAATCGTGATAATGGGAACCTAGCATAACAAGAAAACAATTGGTACTCTGCTCCACAATGAATATATAAATGCAGGGTTTCCATGTAATTTGAGATCAATTAAAATTACATATTATTTTAAAAGAAAGGGCGATACCTTATGAACATTATGAATTAAACAGTCTAAACAATTCTTCAATTTCGTAAAATTATGATCAAATTAGGGGAATTTCTTTTGTGAACTACCGCTGCAAAAAACGATAGAAAGGAGTGCACCAAGGGTCACTAATTGTGTGGTTTCTGTTTGTGTAATTTCACAACGCTTTTAACAATTATTTTAAACTCTATAAAAGCTAAATATACCTTTACAATCTTTTACCCGCGAATACAAAATAGCACTTTTAAAATGCACACATAAAAATACAACATGATTATCTCGTATAATTATACATTTTTTTCAGGTATAAGTACAACAAGGAAAATACACACAGTGTATTTAAATCATGATTGGTAAATTAAAATCTAAATTTGATATGATTGAGTAAAAATAAACATATCGTGATGTTCTCAAACGCAATTCCAACATCATAATTTTCTAGCCCTGTTCTTATTTTTTGTAGGTACTTTCAATATTTTTTACTATTAAATGTGTGTTTTGTCTCGTTACTAAGGGTTAATAATCTATATTGACCTAAATCTCAAGTAATAGTTTGACAATGGCAAGTTATAATACGAAACTACTTCTAGCTAACCGAAGCCGGCTTTAACTGCAAGATGTCACTTCCTCCAATAGAAGCAGTAGCTTGCTCAGTTTCAGTCATGACGTCATTTACTGGTACAGCTTTAGGCGGCGAAGGGGAAAATATCGGTTCCGGTTTGAGCATTAAATTGGAATCGAGGTTGTAAACAGAACGGTCGCTATGTGTCTCTATTTGTGTATACATCCGTTCGCTAAGTTGGTGCTGCTGTGGTGTGTGGGTATAGATCCGGTCGCCGGACAACTCTGCTTGACCGTAAAGACGCACACTTTGTGACTCGGGGTATGACCTTCCTAGATCCGACATCTGATATCTCTGACTTAGGCTAGAGGCAAGACTTGTCATAGGCAATAGGGCGGGTGGGTTCGAAGGCGCTGTTAGAGCGCGTAAAACTGCTGAATTACTGTCGTAAAATGTTGAAATACTCGACAAAACAGGCTTGGATTCTGGAACTGGAAGATAAGTAAATTATAATTTTTTTAACAAATATAATATATCAAGCTTGGAAATAATTCATAATTCGTCTTTGTTTAAGTCGGACTTTCAATAACTTTTAAGATGTCCGTGAGTTGGAATCCTAAAGATAGGTTGACAGGCAACGAAACATAACCCACAGCAGCTAAGTCGTCCGGGCAGTCAAAAAGTGTTGTTGCATATTTTTTCTTTTGTCAGTAATGAGAACATTTACAATGAAAATCTGATTACGAGTAATAACCCATGAAGTAATTATCAGAAAGCATTAGCATTTGTTTCGATTGTTTGTCTCATGACCTTATACAATTTATATTAACTTTAGCCTCAAGTCTAGAGCGTACATAAAGGGCATTAGCTGTAGCAATAATTATCGGAAATCGTTGAAAATGAAAATGATTCTTTGTCTCGTGACCTTAAGCACTGTGTATAAATTTAAAGGCAATCAGATAATAACTTTGGCCTCAAGGGCTTCTACAAGATTTTTCAAAGGGATCAAGGGCTGTAACTTCGGCAGTAATTATCGAAAATCAATAGGCTTTTTCGTCTCATGACCTTAAACAGTGCGTATAAATTCAAAGTCAATCAGATATTAACTTTAGCCTCTAGAGTGTCCACAAGATATTTCAAAGAGGTCAAGGGCTATTACTCTGGCAGTAGTTATCAGAAATCATTATTATCATGACCTTAAACACTGTGTATAAATTTAAAGTCAATCGGATATTAACTTTAGCCTCTAAAGCATCAACAAGATATGTCAAAGAGATCAAGGGCTATGACTTTGGCAGTAACTATCGGAAAAAGCTGAAAGGACTTCTTCGTCGCATGACCTTAAACACCGTGTATAAATTTAAAGCCAATCAGATATTAACTTTAGCCTCTAGAGCGTCCACAAAATGTTTCAAAGTGTTCAAGGGACATAACTCTGATAATTACTACCAGAGTTATGTCCCTTGAACACTTTGAAAAAATTGTGGACGCTCTAGAGGTGTATATGGACAAAGACTAGTAATTATTTAGTAATGTAGTGCGAGTTATAAATAGACAATTTTTCCCTTAATTTTTTTCTCCCCTCTTCCTGCATTTTTGGGTTGACTTTTTGGTCTAGAATTGGAGAAAAGGGATCAAATTTGCAATTTCATAGCAGTTTTGGGTAATACTGATGATATTACAGCGGAGGGATAGGGGATGTAAAGTGTCTTTCTGCAGAGCAATCATTGTGTCGGAAGTGAGATTTTCACCCCTGTCAACTTCAAATCCGTGTAGCAAAAAATCTAAATGGTCAACCCCCTACAAAATTATGATGAGGAGATTGCCAAATGTTGTCCCCATTGTGCCTATAAAGATTGGAACCAACGGAATGTTGAGCAAAAAGCTACAGCCTGTGATGTTACAGTCATTTAACATTGAAGTCATTGGGCAAATAATTGCTAATCTGAGTCCATATAAATGTAGGAATTATTCCCCCTTGTGGCTTGACCAGGTGTTAAAGTCATGGACAGCATAAAAGTACAACATATATTAGTAGATTTATTCAAAGAGACACACATCAAAAAGGTGTGCTTGATGAAAAATGTGATTCAATATCACGATTCAAACGCTGTCAGCCAAGGATCTCGAGTTTTTGCAGGCCTTATGATCAGCCTGTTTTTTTTTACGGAACTAATAAATATTAAACGATTAAACGATTTGCACAGTACGTACCCATGGAAGCCTCTGAACGGTTTAGTGTAAGATCCAGCAATCCTTGGCTCTGTGGTGGTCGAAGAGGCGGTGTTGACTGCTGAGGAGCAGGGAGTTGTAAACTGGGCAAGGAAGGGACGTGGTCACTGGTCATGTGGCGTTGGCCTTGTTCTTTAGGCGGGGTTTTAGATTTAGAAGGAGTGCGTGGTTTCCGTTTCCGAGTCTGTATTCCGTCCTTTTTCATTGACATTGGTCGATTCACCTGCATTAAAAGATGTTTGGTCTTTTTACATACAGGATTTCATATTATAGCCATTAAATATATTTGACACATTATATATGTATTTGTTTTCAGTCTGTGGATAGACTCCCAATCGCCATCTGAATCAATTTTCGTAATAGCCCCTGGTAATAAGTCTGTAGAGGTATAAACCCAAAAGGTCGAAGATTTAGGACTTGATGATTTGTTATCGTAATGGCATTTATGTCCATTTAGGTTTTGATGCAATTAATTTCCCCTTTTCGTGCACGGAAAAATACAAAATACACTTATTGGACATGATTGTACCGTATGCTACAGACTAATAAAACTTTGCATTCTGTCCAACATGTTGGATCACTTAGGATGACATGTCCGAGGTACATATATTCGAATATTGTACTCACCTGGTGTAATTTGTAATACAGTCCACATGCGTTACACACGGGTTCTCCCTCGGCATTTCTACGCCATAATGTAGTTGTACTGGTCAAACAGTTTGCGCATGCTAACCCCATACGCCTGCTGTTTCCTGCTTGCTACAATATAATGATGCAACTGCCATTAATACATACAGCCACATATGAAGTTGTACCCTAAAGCGACTAAGGACCTAAGTAGCTACCAGGTTGATTCAAACCTTTACGCTCATTTACTATGTTATTCCATTAATGTACCAAGACCACATCAGCTGCTACTAGTTGTTTTACTCCCTGCTCCCACAGTTACTCAATATAAGAGTGTGGCTTTTTATCGGAGTAGAAAACTATATTAGTCAACTTTTGTAGTGTATATCAAGACGTCGAGCCAAGATATCCTTGGGATACAAGGAAATATGTAGGATTGACTGTAATCTATAATGTTCAGTTTCATAATGAGTGCAGGATGACCGCACTGCACGCAAACAAATTCCATGGCATTATACAAACCTGCAGGCAATGGGACACACACATTATACATATATTAATGCAGGCAATAAACAACAACCGTACATATCAGATAAGTATGCGAGAAAGACGTTTTGTATGTGGACATTACGATTAATGTCTAAAGTATTAGACCTTAACGTCGGCTGCCACCTACGATTATATCGCAGACAAGTGTCATGTCTCGCATTACATGTTATGTGATTTATAAAAACAAAAACTAACCTTTTCTAGAAATTTTCGTGGCCTTTCTTCATCAACATCTTGTAGCTAGAATGTAGAGATACATTAATGAATGCAAAAGACAAATCAAAGCTGATGATTCATCTCACTTTAATTAATATTCATTATTTACGACCTACACCGCACACCAAGATTTGGAATGGGATTTACAGGGATACAGTGGCCTATGCAGGAGTTTTCAAAAGGATGGTGTTTGGGTGTAAATTTACACCACACACACACACGTAAGTGCACCACTACAAAGGGAACGATTCGGACGCTCAATTTTCTAAAATGTTAACATAGATTATTGTACTGAAAGGCATACAGTATCTGCCCCCATCCAATAATTCTTCAGCCAAGTGTTATACACGTTTGGATTTAGGTTCATCATTTCTGTAATAAGATTCTTTTTCGGCAATAGACGTCGTAGAATCGCCACTTTAAGAGGGATGATAAACTTTGAAAAGTCGAGGTGAAAAGGAAACTCAATCTCAGCCTAATGAAGTTTACTTTATTAAGAAACACGTGAACGAGAAACATCATGATTAGCTTCTTTTCCCTTGGTTGGCCTAATCTACATGACTGTACACATAACCCTTGGCGTATTCTAAACAAAATCCAACCCCTGACTCTTGAACTATGAACCTAACTTTTATCCGATATAAAATACGGGATATTCTTAACACAAGACTTTCTTGTGCAATATTCAACTGATATAAGAAAATTTTGTGAAACCTGTATCTACCAAAATATTCCTTCGTTTAGGGGTTGGACGGAAAGTCAACGGGGGGGGGGGGGGGTAAGCGAGTGTGCTTTAAGGTATGTGACAAGGAATATTTGTGGTCAGTGGCAAACTTCGTGCGTCTCTCTCTCTCTCTCTCTCTCTCTCTCTCTCTCATGGACTAATATGATGTGTTCATTTTTTATACCGTGCTTCTTGCTGATGACTTGGTATCCGACCTTCCATTGGCGGACATTTTGGTGTAGATACCACATGCATTGCAAATATAATGTCCAGTACCATCTCGTCTCCATAAAGGAGTGGACATGGACCCACATGACACACATTCTCTTCCCTCAGAATAAAAATCATCGGTAGCTGAAATATAGCAACATGTTTGTAAAGTGTGCCATAAATACCCTTTGGAATAATAAACACACCTGTTTCATTTGAAAGAATGGTGGTCTTTAAACCATTGGTAATAATTACGACACCAAACGACCGATTATATATCGCTTCACGTCTATATATTTGATTCCTTTAATTCATTTTAACTGGCTAGTTTCTTCGCAATAAATGGATTCACATTTGAACACAAATTTACTTTAGCTTTCTATGATCTTGTTGATTTCGGGTTGTACAAGTTGCATGTATATATTTTTCGAATCATTTTGTTGTTTTGTTTGCTAGGGCGTTTTTGCGTTTGCATGTGATGAGGTGGTTCTGGGGCATTTGTCGTAGTTTAGAATCTTTGGCTATATATTTCAACTCATGATTAAAGGCGCTAAAACTCAACATTTTCCATAATATAAGAAATTACAAACACGAATTGTAATTCAGTACTGGTCCATTCCAATCAATATTGATGTTGTTATCTTGCCGTGAAAATATGGAATCCTAATATCCAATATTTAAGACACAATGATCATATTTTAATCAGTACACGAGTCGTGTATTCTATGGTTTTGGGTGTCATTTGTAATTTGCAAAGAAAATCATATCTTACAAGACAGTGCGTGCGGAAGTAATTAGTAATGTCTGATTCACAAACGACAAAATTATAATATAAAAACGTGTAGAATGGAAATGAAATGAAATCAAATGGATTTATCTTCCTGCTGTTCTACTGTCGTACAATTTTGACTGAACATAAGTGATTACAAATTACAATACATTTTTTTTAATTAAAGATCACTTTATATGCATTCATATTACATCAATATGTGCTTTTATATCCGCTTTGGAATTTTAAGGTTCCAAAGAATAGAGTTTTAAGATCTTGAGATAAAGCGTAGACTTTAAGTAATCTTTTATTCTGTTCTAGTGTACTTTAATAATGTATGGTATTACCCTACTAAAGTTTCGAATGCACTCTTTTATATATCACTTAAATTACCCTTAACCGGATTTCACTTCACCTTTAACTTCATAAATTTGCATAATCGTGGAGAAAAGATGTAGATCATTTTTCTAGTTTTATATAGGATTATACCTTTTGAACTTTAGAGGCAAATAAGGATGAACCATCCCCAGTTTGGCTTGTGGTTATTTTATTGCCATTTGAAGAACCGAACTTGGGTAAAGATTCATAGTTCAAAGAACCCTTAAAAGTTTATAAAGATTTTTTTTAAACAATATGTTTTTGTCAAAAGATCGCTTTAATATTGCAAAAACATTTCAAATCTTCGTACATATCGTTTTAATGCAAAAGAAACATTTGTAACTTATTGTTAAATGAAGGTTCTTCGGCATATTATTTAGCATACTTTATTTTTACGGTGGAGGTGAAGGGGAGGGAAGCTTTATATAATACCTGTCATCGATGCAAGTGTCGTGGTTTTGGTCAACCACACGTGCGTGACAGGGTTTTCTCCACGCATATGCGAATTATTAAAATATAGTATGCCACAATATGATCTAGTTTGTGCTTATGGACACATTCAATCTATTATTTATATTTCATGGAATTCGAAACATAATTAATGTTGCAAGACAAAATGTCCCAGTACATAATATCCACGAACAAACTGAAATAGCGATTTTTTTTGATTTTTTTTTATTTTATTATAAGCGAACCCTAACCCAATGCTAAATGCTAAATGCTAAATTTTATTTGCCATTTTGTCAGTAATATTATGTCCGGGCCCATTGCTCATGCATCTTATTAACAGATATTGGGTCTAGGTGATTATCAATGGATATTTATTCTAGGTTATTATTAAGGGGTTATTATTAGAAGGTATTTATTCTAGGTAAATTCCATTTCTTTAATATCGTCTTCGTTAGACCAGTATTAGCAGAATAGCGGGACGTTAAACCCCATATAGATGTACGACGTAATTTTGTTCTCGTTTATTATTTGATTTTCTTACTAAATGTTTGTAAGTAAAGTCAGTTTTAAATCATGGAACATGATCCACATTTAATTACACTTTACTATGTCACGAGTTACTTTATGGAATGTTGCAGCCATAATCTTGTAATGATGGTTTTAATGACAAGATGTGATGAAACGCGATCTTAAAATGGGCAAGATAACGGATTATACACATATTATATGTTATGTTGTGGAACAGATTTTATTTAAAATCTTCACATATTGAATATTTATTAAACCAATAATTGATGTAATTAAACAGTTATAATGCGTTATTAATATAGATGCTTAATTTTTATTATCAATTTTTATATATAACGTATAATACCGCTTAATCAATCCTCTAACAATAAAACATCTAAACCGTATATATTTAATCAAACCACATATCTAAACAGAATATGGTTGAACTCATGTGGACGCTTAAAAACATATCTGAATATATAATTCAGTTTTAAGATAGTAATGGCACAGTGTGGGAATGGATTTATTATTTCATTTCAAACGATACCGGGTACAAAAAAGCAAGATTTATAATTTATATGATGTAACTGATACAATTAAACAGTTATATATATTACTCACATAATAGATAATTCATATTCATATAATACGAAATCTATTAATAACTTAAAACATTCACCCTTTTCTATAAATCTATCGCTAACAGACAGCTACACGAAAAGTATTTTTTTACAGGCCTAGATATTAAATGCATGTATTTGATTTAAGGAAATATATTCATAGTTAATAGGATATACGATATATATAGTTTTGGACTTAAAAATAACAGAAAAAGCTATTTACACTTTTAACAGAATTCACATGGCTAAAAATTTATATTATGTTGTACTTGCAATCAAAATTTATATATCAAAACACCAATGATGTTATGCTTACATATTATAAATTATTGGGAACTTTACATTAAAATGTGTTGTACTAACAACTCTTTCTTTTGTATGCAAAACGGAATTTATACTAGAAACAAAAGCTGTTAATGCTGTCATGGGAAAATTATATTAAATATATGTTATGTTATAGAAACATGATCCTAACGAAAATAAAATATATGTTGCTTGACATAATAAGAACGGGAATTTATTTAGCAAATAAATATTGTTTAATATTGAATAATATGCGATTGAATATTTAAAAAAAACGCTTTGAAAATGCTCCCGTTTCTTGAGAATAAAATAGCATGTCATAAAATATGTTTTAAAAAATTCAAGTACTAGTTCCCGGAAGCTGATAATACGACTCGAACAAGTAATAATTATATTAATTATTATCTATAACTACCCCGCCCCTCCTCTAATTAACAAAATTATGAATAGCTATTCATTTGCCCTTCACTGAAAACATGCAGTTATGCAGATATTCCATTTGGCCTTCATAAAAAAATATATTTTAGCATATTTAATTCAATTAGCTATTAGGATAAAGAAAAAAAATCATCTATGGTAATAATATGTTTATCAGATATGCTAAAACAAGCTAACAAGACGTTACCCTATGTTCTTCCTCGTACAAAAACAATATCCTTCGTGTTGACACGGGATCAACGATGGGTGGGTTTTAAAACAGTTCAACATTTACACAACACAATGTGGAACTAAATTCTCAGATAAGCGATCTTTTGTCGTGATAAAATTAATCAAATAAATTTTTATCAAAATACTGATAAGCGACAAAATGATATCATTTGGTATACAAAAAGCCTGATAACGAAGGCCGTCAGACATTGTTTGGTTCTGATAAGCAGAGCGGTGGTGACTTGTTAAAATGGAGTCACTCTTTGCTCAGTGATAATGGCTTTACTAATGGAGATAAGATAGATATTGAGAAAGATAACCAAATTTTACAGATAGGCGATTTAATATACCTGTAGTTGTGTCGTTGATAAACGCTTCTAAGGAAAACTCCTCCATGGCCCCACTGCCTTGGTGATATTAACTCGCGTTGTTGGGAGAAAACAGACCGTGCAGGTGAAAGCTATATTAAAATATGGACTAATATTTCTAAACACGCGGCGTCCCCTCCCTAATTTATGTTGAACTTAGAACGTACGGGATCTACGTTTGCATTCGTTTAACGTTGCATTTAGCTAAAGTCGCATGACCCGAGCTTAGTTTAAGTATCAAATATCAGCCTAATATTACTCCTCACATACACACGGGTCCTTAATCATATTTGTAAACAGGCCGTGTTTAATTTATTATTTATTCAGGCCACACTAATAAAATTCAGCTTTCATTTAAAGCGACATCACTATGTCTTGAAGAGAATTATTTCATGAAATATGACAAGATTTATTTCTTGATCGTACTTAATATAGAACGTCATTATCGTTGCCGTTGCAATTTCATAATTGAATTGATCATTCAGGTCGATGTATTCGATGATATTTAATTTTATTGCAGATATTCCACCCGAACTATTTCATTAATTGATTTTCATTACAATTATCTCCCTTTGTGATTTCAACTAATATAATCTTTTTGTGAATTATTTGATGTTTCTTTTGATGTTTATTTTGGGGATATTCTTTTCATATCTTATCCATGACCACAGGTACACATCAGAAAAACTGACTTTTCATTTTGAAAAATTAACAACGCTAACGTTAAAATTGCTTGAGTGGTATACACGTTAATTTTGATTATATAATAAGAAAAGGACACACAAGTTAGGAATATTTGAATTCCGATTCAAAATAAAACAATCTCAAAGACTCTATGCGTGGTTTTAGTGCACGTCGAATCTCTAATATGAATATCAGTCCAAAAATGGTTCAATTCTGTTAAGATTTTGCAAGATGTGAGGAATTGAAAATTCCATCGATTTATGCTGCTCCTTATGTAACAAGATGCCCGCCATCTTTATTTGCCGTGAACCAAATTGATGAATCTGTTTCAAATCCGATTGAATGTTACCCGGGAATAGGAAGATTTAGTTCTTACATAATGCATCTTTAAATAATCAATCGGATTACA